GCTATGATTTTGATGCAAACGAAACGCCCCTTCAAATGCGTTTTGATACTAAAGATATTTACATGGGTAATAGTTTCAATTAGTCTCAAATCTTGAGTAATGTTGAAAATCGTATTGATTAGTAACTAAAACTAAACTGATTCTAAATTAGATGCAAGATTGTAACTGAGGACGAAGGTTATAACTAGAGTTGACAATTATAACTTTGGTTGAAATTTATCAATGATTTAGACGTTAGACCAATTTGCTCTATTATGAAACTCTCAAAGACATGCTTTTTATTCTAAACCATATTTACTTCGTGCACCCATTCGATAAAAATGATTGTGATTTTTGTGGTTTCGGGCGCAGCTGTTAACATTAACAAAAGTCCGTACTGTTCCTCAGTGAAAAATGCATCTTTTCATTGTTAGTCGACGTGTAGATACAAAAATATTTAACTTGCAAATGAAAACATAAGCAACATCCCAGAAAAAAATCTATAAATACTAATGTTTTTAATAAAAGAACAATGAAATGCATATGCTTTAATATAATCTATCATATATCTCAATTAAATCAAAATAATTACTAATTCAACTTACTTCAATTTATTCAATTAATCGAAAAGGTTATCGAGTTAAAATCGATGATAGCCATAATCCTTGTTGGCAGATATAACTAATGGTTATAGGAATAATTCAAGTTATAGCCATTTTAACTTTTTTCCATTTTTACAACTATCAACTTTGTCAACAAAGGTTTCACTTCTATACTGTTCCACACTCACCCCCAGCCACATACCTTACTCGTACAACCACATCTAGACTTCTACAAAGATTTATTTGCAACAACTATTATGTTTATGAATCGATATTGAATTTTTGTACTCGATGGTTTCCGTAATCGACGACATAGAGATTGCCGTGTCGATCGAATGACAAACCGATGGGTCCTTTGAGTTGGTTCGATTGTCCTCCTTTACCGTTTCCACCAACAATGACACTTCCCTGTGTGGCTCCTTTGGGCCAACGCATGATTCGATCATTCTCTGCATCAGCCACATAGACAGTGCCCAATTGATCGACAACGACTCCTTGAGGATAATACAATTGTGTAAGACCATTTCCTTGTCCTTGACCACCAGCCACGACAATGCCTTGTTTTGCACCTTCCA